TCGATTGTTTCTCTTTTTGTTATTATATTCTAAGAAACTGTAGCGGCAATACAATGTAAACAAATGTAAATAACATAAACTCGTTGAGTTCATAATATCGTATTCATACGATTGATTTTAAGCAAATAAAATTTGAAAAACAAACCGGAAAAAAAAGAGGATGAAAATACAAATCTTACTCTCTTCTCTCTGTGTGTGTTTCGATTGTGCATGAATAAAAAAAAACATTGCGTAGGAATTTCAAGTGACTGTGAAATACATTTATAAATGTACCTTTTTTTAGATTTGTTTGATTTGATTTTAGTTTCAGAAACATTTTTTTATTTTTTTTATTTTTTTTATTTCATAATTCAAATTCGAATTTCGAATTCGAAACATGTTTGAATGTGTACGACATTTGACAGTTGGTAGCTGTGTGTATTGGTGTGTATCATATCGAAGCCGATTTTTCTGATTACATTCAAAATGTGCTTCGTAAACATTGCATCGTATCAATTAATTTCTTTGAACTAAATAGGGATTTTTTCGCATCAAAATATTTTGAAGTTATTGTTAAGAATAAGGTAAGTAATTATGGTTAAGTTGCCATTGTGTTGAAAAAAAAAAAAAACAAAATTCAGTGATTAATAAATGGAATTCTTGTACATGAGATTCATTTTTTGTTTATCGTCATTTTAGCAACGGTTTGGTGTGTTTGGAACGTAACTGTAGAAGTCACTCGATGTCAAATGGAAAGATTCACAGTCCGTTTTGTGACAGTCTTTGTTTTCATTTCAAAATAAAAAAAAACATTTTCATCGTTTTAATCAGGACACAGCGTTATATAGTATAAGAAGTTATTCATTTGAATTGTGATATGAGTGTGTTCTCATTTTTTGTTTGTAACAAATTGTGCTTTGCTTGTAAAAGGAATTCTTGAGAATTATGTGTGAGTGTTTATATTAGAGTATGAAACAATTTGTTTGTCGTCATTTTTGGCTAACATTTGTTCCAATGATTTTGTTTGTTCGATGTTAAACGGATAAATTCACTGTTGGTTTTGAGATTGTCTCTGTTGTTATTTCAAAATAAGAAAGCATTCATAAAATTGACGGTGAATATTCCAACAAAATTTTCATCTGCGGAATATTGGAAAACATTTCATCATTTGAATCAGAATACAGAGTGACATCGTTGAGGTAAGAAGTGATTAATTTGAATTGTGATATAAGTGATTGTCATTTAAATTGTGATCTCATTTTATTCGTAATCTATGCTTTTTTTGTTGCATTTTTTTTCTAAATTTGTGTCTATTTTTTATTTTCGAATAATTTGATCAGTTTTTTGAGAATGAACAGAAAAAGACATGGATGACGACGAGCTCGATGATAATCAACCAGAAGAAAGCAAATACGTTGTAATAAAATGTGGACTTCAAACAATCCTGCGACAACAACATGAACGGATTGAAAGAGTTGGAGAAGTTGTGACCAAAATGCTATTCGAGCGCAGTGTTCAAATGACAGAAGTGGCAGCATTGGCATCACTTTCTATTCTTTTTATTTTGAATGAAGCACTTGATAATGACGATCGTGCATTTTTTTTGAAACCACATCCAAGCCTGTTCATTGCCGATTGTTTCAGAGCGGTATTAAACCAACACGTTAACAATATCAATAGTCAATATCGGATATTGCCCGAGTTTCGTTTCATGGTAGAAAGAAACAGTGAAGAACAGTTCCGATGGCCAGATGATGAAAAGTTGGGAAATGGTTTGAGATATTTTTATAAACAATATATCACAAACATTCAAACCAATACCAACACATGGTGTGAAAAACGACTTGAGAATTTTTTTCGAATGCGTTGTTGGTATCGCAATCGATTCCACAATGGCTCAAGATTTGATAACATCGACATCAGAAATGCCAAAGAGTTTTCATATCGATTTAAGAATTTAACAAATGGTAATAATGGTAATAATGTGGATCCACAACGCGTTGAAAAATTCAATATTTTAATGAGAGATTTGACTGAAATTGGATGGTCGGGAACAGTGAGTATGAAATTTTTCGCAAAATATCGTTGGTTTGAATCACTGTGGTTGTTCGGTCAAATGCAACGGCAAATAGAAGTGTATCACAGTCATGCCGAACAATGGTATACCATTCATGAAATGTTTCGCAACAATCCGAACTTTCAAGAGCCAACAATCAATCGACCACCAAAAATAAGCAGTTTTGCTCTTATACCATTATGCGACTACCATTTGAAAAACGTGCGATTGGACATTAAGGACTTGTATAATAAAATTGTAAACGAGCTTGATTTGGTGCCTTCTTTTCTCAATACGCGGACCAACCGGATGAATAAGAGAAATTTAAAGTACTACACCCAAACTGATCGATCAGGTCTATGGAATATGTTGTTCGATGTCGGTGAAATAAATAAATTGGGCAAATCGAAATCATTCCATCATCAGATTTTGACAGATAGTGTTTCAATATCCATAATGTACAAGAAACCACAGCGACAACAACGACCACAGCGACAACAACGACCACAGCAAACAACCCAAGCGAATCGGGGGCCGGAAAAACTCATTGGCAAGAAATACATCATTGGAATCGATCCAAATGAAAAATCGTGGTTAACTGTAGTGCGTCGCAACATTCAAAAAACACCTGATGAGCCGGCTGTTGAGGTAACATATTTTGAAATGTAATTTGAAATGGTTTTGAATAGAAACTCATAGTTTTTTGTACCATTTTGCATTTTGAAGGAAAACATTATAATACCAAACCAGCGTTTTCATTGGGAAACTCAGCAGAAAAAACGAGACAAAGAAGCGAAAAAGTTGGCTGGATGGTTTGATATCGAAGAGAAGGAACATCTCAAAACCTACCCATATCGTCCACCATCACCACGTAATTCAACATGGAAATCATACATTGAATATCGCATTAAAATGTTACGAAAAGGAATGGCAGCTTATGCGACGCGTGAATATGCACGACTGGATTTAGACCATCACATTCGCTCGACCAGAGTAAATGATCAAATCGCCGTGCGTGTGACAAACAACAAACCGTCGTTGGTTCAATTTGGTGCTTGGGCGATGAAACCCGATCGACCGTTTGGAATAAAAAAGCGTAAAAGATGTCCGGGATCGCGTAAGTTTCGTGTGAGCATTAAGAAACTTGGACATTCAGAAGTTGAAATGCAAGATGAATGGGGAACATCACAAACATGCGCGAATTGTCAGGAACGTTTTCCAAGGCACACAAAAGATGATCGATTTAAAGTGTGCTACGATTGTAGAGCGAAAAAGATTGATGGCCTGCCAGATTCAGTCGCTGGACTGCCAGATATCATTGTGTCAACGGTCAACAGACGTGTTTTGAGAAGAAAACGTGCAATTATTAAGCGACAAATTATCGATGGCAATCGTGAGGCTGTGAACGAAAAAATTCGGACTGGGCGTTTAATGTCAAAGGTTAAAGTTACCTACAAAAATTGGCCATTAAATGTTGATGATGATGATGTTGTTCCACAAACAGTTACTTGGCACCGAGATATTGTTGCAGCAAAATGCATTATGCTCAAAGGTATGAATCAATTGGAAACAGAATATTCATTATTTAATGTATTTGCTTTAAATTACATAGGACTTTGCCGGATCTTTGATGTACCATTGCCAGTTTCATTGTTAAGACCGCCGGACTACAACAACAATGTCAACTAACAAACATCATCAATTAATCATACATTCAAAAAATTACATAAAATAAAATATTTTAACTATTATAATTAGCTTAGCTAGACATGAACAGACTATATAAAGTCTTGTGGTCTAGTTGTACAATAGTACAACATTGTACGGAGGGGGAGTGCCCGTAGGTGAGTAAAGTTTTTAATTTAAAAAAAGTATTTTATACCCAGTTCAACTGATATTAATGGTTGTCTTTCCCTTTTTCCATGTTTTCACACCTGAATGTTCCACCATGCCAAACCTATGGAAATGACTGAAACTACACACGAATCTAACCCCGAAAACGACCGTCAATATGTGCTTCATAATGGATGCATTTGCCCTATCAATTGTTTGCTGGGTAGTGAAATTAATCTGACATTTGTTTTGCGATACAAATAGTTTTCGACGCACTTTCCATACAAAAGAGAAAAGTCATAAGTCTCCTTGCGAGTACCACCGATCGACTTTTAGATGAAACAAATACGCCAAACATGTTATTTTTTCATGTATTTCAACAAAATGGATGGAGCATATAATTCTTTATTTTTGAGGAGAAATGATGTAAAAATTTATCATCTGTATGATATTTTTAAATGTAAATTGTTCGTCGAGTGGTTGGAGCATGGCAAATAGATTTGCTGATGATGTAGTTCAAAAGGAGGAACGAGTTTGATGAAATATCTTGGTAATGATTAAAATTCAGAATTTAATTTTTAAAAAAAGTCCATCTAGTTTCGTTAAATTCATTTTACAAATGTAATAACAAATTATTTCATAAAATAATCACAATGGAAAATTATCTTGTAATTTTGGTTTCGAGCCTTTATTGTAGAGATGATTTAGTTTGGCGGTTTCGTTATGATGGCATACCGCATCTTCAGTAATCTTTAATTCGTTTTATACTATTTCTTTTTATTCGAAATAAAATAAATAAAATCTTTTCCAATATTACATCAATAAAAAAGATAGATTCAAGCAACAGTGGGTCGAAGTCATGCTTGAGAGTTAGTGTTGGCTGCGAACATCTACGAACACTCGTTTGTTCGTTCATAGGAATTGAAAAATTGTTCGTTCATTCGTTCGTAGGAATCGGAAAAAAATTTGTTTGTTCGTGCGTAGCGATTTTTCATTTCAAATATTAAGAAAATTACTAAGAAAATTTGAAATAAAACATCGCTACGAACGAACCAACGAAAAATTTGTTTTTCCGATTTCTACGAATGAACGAACGAACAAATTTTTTTTAATTCCTACGAACGAACCCAATTTAATTTTTAAATTTCTACGAACGAACGAAAATGTTATTTTTATTGCCTACGAACGAACGAACGAACGAACGAACGAACTTTCGTAGCTAAAAGTATTGAGAGTTTACCTCACACACATTGGTTTTAATATATATTCATTCATATGGAAAAAAATCTAGAAAAACTAGATTCTCTGCTATATTTCAATTTTCATCATTTAACAAAATTACTCCCACAAAATAAACGGAATCGGCTGTATTTTATCGATGATTCACCTCGATTCGTACCAATATACGTGTCATGGAAATCTGTATGTATCTGTTGAAACCGTTTACATAGCGTTTACTTTATTTGAGTAATTTTCTGTTTTGTTTTCTTTAAATTTCTTTGCAAATTTGCATAAATCATTTGATTATTCATTTTCATTTTTTTTAAATAAATACTTTTTTTCCCGTACTTTTTTTTAAATATCGATTAAGCTATATATATGAATTACATAATAAATCGTTATTGTTTTAAACTTTCTTTGTTGTTATATTAAATTTTATGCTTCATTTTCGTTTTCTTCAACTATACACATTGAATTTTTAGTTTCCTCAAAAACATAGTAAATTATCACGCACTTGAATTAAAATTGGATTGACAAGATGGTCCGGGTATTGGATCTAAAACGTTTTTTTTGTAATAAATTTAAAATTATATAAATTTTATTGTTGATGAAATTCAAAATAGAAATGACTTGCCCTTGAAATAGTGTTCTTTCGTTCTTAGCGATTTTTTATATTAAACCTTTGACCAAAAAAGACAGATTATAGGCTAGGGGGTAGATACGTGGAATAGGATTAGACTTTTGTGTAACAAATCGAGAAATTGAAACAGAAAAGACAATTCAGTAGCGGCATTCGCATGAATTCACTAATCCCATGTATGGAATAGCAAAAATTCGTTGGATTTTAGGTATTAACATCCATATCACTATTTTAAAGTATCAATCAATTTATTTTTATTATAAGACTGGAAGGATATTGAGGAATATTTTCGTGTAAATTCTTTCGAAAAATTAACATATTTTTAAAACTCCATAAGTTTGGATAAACGGTTCTCATTTCCAAACACTGTGCGACAGGTGTCATGTGCGAAGCATGTTGCCTATTATTTCTGATCGGAGGCGGCCCCAAATTATGGAATGACCTATTGTTTCTCTAGGTTAGCGATTTGCCCGATACATCACACTCAAAAAAACAGTTTCCTCAGGATAGTGATATTTGAAGCAATTAAATTAAGGCATTTCTCTTAAATTTATTCTGGAAAATTGTGTAGCCGGGGTTTTTTGGTACGAAAAAACATAATCTTTAATTTATTTTGTAACACGATTAAATTTTGATATATTTATCATTGAAAAATATAAAAAATCATCAAAAATGTGGGTGAGAGCACTTGATTCTGTGCACAGGATATTTTTTCAATACAAATAGAGGGAGCATCTCATGTAATTTTGACACTTTTCACGTGGAATACTTTGTGGTAGATTCTACTTATTGTGTGATAAACTATGTGAGTACCACATTCAACATCTCATGTAATTTTGACACTTTTCACGTGGAATACTTTGTGGTAGATTCTACTTATTGTGTGATAAACTATGTGAGTACCACATTCTATGAAGAATTTACAATTTTTTTTTTTTTTTGTAAACGAAAATTTTGTATGTGAAATTTCTTCGAACTCTCCCAATGTTATTTTTTTTTGTAGATCAACCAAAGTCAGATTTTAAATAACGTTTTTGGGTTGAAAGTCATCGTGTTAACAAATTTTTCATATGTGGACAACGTACCACGTGGAACTGACCCACAACAAACATGTTCAAAACAGCCTGATTCGGGTTTTTTGGCCTCGAAAACTACCAGAAATCATATTTTTTAGGTGTCGTAAATGTTGACCCATTGCAATTACACATTGGGTGTGTGTGGAAGAGTAAAATCGCTACGTACGAACGAACACAATTTCATTTTTAAATCAAACGTTCGTATCCAACAGTAAAAATTACCTAAAACAAATGTGGGACTTAGTTGCGATGTTGTAGATGCAACTTGATGATAATGATAGCCTTGCCGGTATCGATTGTTTGGTCTATGATTTTGGTTTTGAATATTTCCAAGTGTCGGTCTTCGATTATTTGCTTTGTCAGGACGTTTTTCTGTAAATTGAAATTTAAAATAATCATGTTATTCAAAAATATATTGGAAACGTCTATAATTGAAAGTCATTGATTCGAAATTTAATGTAATATAACTATTATTACGTGGTATATAAGGCTTTTGATTGCACTCTGGTGATGATATTGTACAATTGACATGATTATTGTACGCATAGCCATTATCATTTGCGCCAATATGAATGGGATACTCGTGATGATTTGTGTGTGTGATTGGACTCATTTCACGACATTTTCCTGACACAAGATCTGCTTCATCTTCATTAGGTACTTGACGATATATGCTACTTGCGCAAAATTCCATTAGAGTTAATGCTATGGCCTCAAAGGCGCACACATAACCAATCATCTAGAATGAAATTGATTTTTATGAATTTGAAAATACATTCTAGCATGTTTATGGCACATTTCAACTGCATGAAATTCAGTTTAAACTCACCGCTGAAACAAATAGCGTGTCTTTTGTGTATTTCGGCACCCAAACGAATTCTTCGGCGAATAAAACCGTGTGCAATATTAATGTGGACGAGATTAGGAACAGCATACCAACACAAAAGTATATATACGTGTTCTGTAAAGGAAAAAATTATCAGAGCTAAATACGTGAATAAAAAAGAGCTACAACAGAGTGCTGTTACCACCGAGTACGTTGCATGTATTTTTACGTCATTTATTATTAATTAGCACGTAAAACAATTAATGAATGAATTTAATTAGTTTCAGTTTTCATTTTATGCCTTGCGCGCCAGTCTGTATGTAATAGTGTTGTGTGTATACTTACCACTTTACCCCAATTAAATGGAAACATAAGTGCAATAGCTGATACATCTAAGAATATGAGAGAACAGGTAAGAAGTATTGAAATTAGTGCGGAAAACATCATCAATCGTAATCGTCCTAGTAATGGCAGTAAAAATAATCCAACTTGCACAGTACCAGCAGAGCATTCAGTTAATAAACACACCGCTGATGATAACTAGATATTAACATTTCAAATACAAAAGATTAAAAATAAGAAACGGAAGTTATTATTTATAATCGATAAATGTTCATATTTTTCTATGGGAAATAACAAATAGAAAACTACAGGGGTAGTTACTAAACTATGAAATGATTTGTTCATTTTTCACTTGCAGGGCCGTTACTTATTTGGTAATAATGATGATGGTGATAATAATAACTTACCACTAATAATATTCTAACGATCCCTGTACGTGATTTAAAATGTTTGGCATTGCAATGCAATGCGACACCCCATGGTGGCGTGTGATTCATGTGATTTCTATAATTGATGTGCGAGTCCCATGATGTGATGGTACCTATTGGTGATTCTAATTCAATTGGTAGAGATAGTTCATCGGCTCTGCTGCCAGCTATATCGAAATCCTGTAGGTCTTCTATCTGGTAGCAGGCCGGTTCGAAGTCCTTGATTTCCTCGAGTAACAGATCTATTTCATCTGTTATATATAAATCAGATACCGAATGTATAAAGCGCTGGGTCTGTTGCATTTCCTGTTGTTTGTACAGAAAATGTCGCCATCAACCATGTGCATGTGGTTAGGCGCATTCACTATTCTAGCAATTATAGAGCCTGCTCGTTGATTAAACAGAATGCAGTTATCGCCACCAATAATGAAATTAAATAAAATTGAACAAATAACAAATTAACCGTTGATTTTAAGATGATAGAAATGGATCAATCTATAAATTATTCAAATTTGAAGAATTCATTCATAAATATTAAAAGACAATATCAAATATGAAATGCGAACGGGCGCAGTAGTGTTACTTTAATAGTGTTACTTTTTAGTGGATAATTTGTTACTTTTAAGCCAAAAGGTAAAATGCTAACAATAAAAAAATCGTTAACGGAAAATGACTGACATACGACAGTTTGCTTCATATTCAATTAAAATCATTAATGAATTTTCGCCACGCTTTTATGCTTTGAATGGCCGTTCAGTCGACCTTGTAAATCGGTTGATAGTGTCACATGCTAGGGGCTTAATACGGCAAAAAAATTCAAAGGAATTCACGTAAATTCACACTTTTGAATCGAGTGGTTATTGATGAGTTCGGTGAATTCGTGTGAATAGAATGAAATGTGTCAAAGTAATAAAGTGAGGTTATGATAACCGCAATATTTTTTAATTTATTATTTTGTCAACATTTCCGATTGTTTTCGAAAAAAAATCGCTCAAAATTGAAAATAAAATTAATTTTTATTAAAAAAATATAAAAAAACATTTACAATTTCGTTACACAAAATATAAATATTGCAGTAATTTCCAGCAGAAACTATTCACCACTATCTCACATATTTGAATGAAATCACCGTAGAATTCACTGGAATTCATTCGTTTGCTGAAAAATTCAGTTAATTTAGATATTATTATAGAATTCAGTCGTTGAAATTTTGAATTAAGCCCCTTAGTCACATGCAAGTGCACATTATGCTCTCATTTAATTTGATTCATGTTAAACACACATTTATTCCGTTTAATGACACCTTTACCGTTCCGGTAACTATTCCGTTTTGCCATTTACCAGCGTCCAGCTCAATGCAAAAAGGATTTTTACACATAGTTAAATACAACACTTCCAGTGAATTGGTGTAAATGTTGCAAGAATAACGACACAGGAAAAACCGTTTACTACTCTTTATTTATTTAGTTAGTATGCTTAGCATGCTCGTAGTTTCGATTTTCCATTTCCGTTATTTTGTCATACTGAACATTTTTTCACGCTGACGAAATCAAAACTGGCACACATACACTGACATTTGACCTCTCATACAAAGATACAAGTTGGATGAAAAAAATATGACTTTTGCAGTTATGAACACGATGTATCCGAATTGTATTAATTGGAAAACTGCGGTAGCTGACACAAAAAAGCGCAAAGGAACACTCTACGTTGACCAAACGAATTTCCATTAAATATAAATCACCGGTCTATGTTCTTTTTGACGTCAGTTTGTGAGTATATTCATTTACTGGCCATTATACCTAGAACAGTCATAAAGGAAATTTCCCTTTTTTTCCACACATACACATGCAAACAATTACACTTTCCTTATATCTGTCATTTGTATCACAATTTCCATGTCTATGCCCTTATTTAAACATTCAATTCTTCAATAAGATTTGCTCTACATTTGGTATGTGAATGTTCAAAACGGATATTCGTTTGAACATATAATTTTAGATACAACATTCATTTATAAAACCCACATATGGAGCACCACACACGACAAATAACAATGAGTATTATCATAAATTTGAATAGTACAAAGTCCTTTCAAACCAATCTTTTCAATTGTTTGTTTATTTTTCATTGTTCTTGTTACATTTTTCGCTCAAATCGCTTCTGCGTTGTTGTGATACATAATTGAAATTAAAATAATTTGAAATTTTTTTCACAATATTTTTTTTTATCACTATCATTTCTTCTCTGCACACACCGAAAATTAGAGTTAATGAGAATATTTTGAATATGTTTGAGTTTTTCATTTTATAGAATCATTTCTTTATTATTCAGTTGATAACTTATTTTATAGAAACATTTCTTTTTTGTTCAGTTGATAACTTAACTTACAAATATATGTTTGTTACGGTTCATTCTGCATCTTTTCTCTGTCACTTTTGACGAAAAAAGGTAAAAAAAAGCAATATTTGCACATGAACATAAATATGTGGATTCGTATAAAAGCACTTGGCATGTGTACAATTGTACATCGAAAATACCACCCATGCTGAACTGAGAGTAAGAACTAAAGAAGAAAGATTCAGACACACACACAATATTGAATTTAAAGGCTATCAATGCCGTTTCAATTGTACCACCGTTCCGAGTTACACACCGAAAAAAGAAAGCGTATTTCATTTCGTACACACATCGACACACCATTCCCAGGAGAGTGTGTTTAACTGTATACTCGTCTCAATCACTTTCGCACGACACATATTTTAAAAGCACATTGTAGTCTGAATAAGATGGAAAGAGAAAAGCTAATATAATTATGTATTGCAAACAATAAGAACACATCGCTGCGATAGCAGCAATGGAGAGCACCACCAAACAGCTACACATAACAATAAACATCATTTTCAAAGGGGAAAAATCAATAAATCGCTTTTGCTGTATACTATGCATAAAAAAAACATAACTGGTGAAAATATCGGTATATTTCACTATCTCTTTCTCTTTCGCTTCGTAAACGTTTTCGATGTAAGAAACATTTATTACTCCAAATGATTTTTTTTATCGTCATGATATCATTATTCACATTTTTCGTTAAGGAAAATGTTCAAAATAACAAAACTTGCTTAAGGCCGCAAAGAGAACATTGAACGAGAAAAGAACCTACCACTTTTCCAAACGTACAACATTCAAATGCCAAAAAGCAATCGCCTTTAGTTCGCTCTCATGGTTGTTGCACCATTTTAAAATCACGTCAGAATTTTTCTTGTTTTTTATTATTATTTTTTTCACGAATCGTTATCTTATCACACGAATGGTTCAGAAAAACAAATGAATGATGGTGTGAAAAATAATGTCGGTAGTTGTACTTGGGTTACACAAATAATTGAAAAAATATTATATATGTGTCAGAACGAATGCGAATGAATGCTGACACTATTCCTCCGATCAAATTGTTTCAGAACACTTGGTCTGTAAAATCCCCAACGTGCATGTGTATGCCATTTGCAGGAATGTTTGCGTTGCGCCATACAATTATAAAGCTCAACATATTTGTAACATGCATGTGCGCGCTTTTCCATAGAGGAGAATCTCGCATTTCTCCTGCTATGAATTATCCATACTCACGTAAGAAAATGTGATCTGTCAAAAACGTTGAACGTCAAGTGGATGCATCTCAGTCACGCACGTCGGTCAAACAGAACAAAGCTTAATTTCCCCTCAAAAATGTTGTACATACCTTGCCATATACTTGATTCATTGTTTCGATTTTTCTATTCTACAAAAATTCTGGATTTTAAACCGGATTTAACGTTCAAATAATCATGCAACTATTATGAATGCGATCAAAAGACCATTACGTAAGCATTTATTTTTAAGTAGTGTGGTACATTTTTCACAAATTAAGAGTAATATTACATTTTTGTTATTAAAGTTGTTTCGCATTAAATAACTATAATTATTATAGTAGGCTCTTAACTTATCCATAAATAAAACTATAAATTAAAAAGTTTGTTTTGTTCTTCAAATTAAAATTAATCGAAGGTATTTTCGATAAAATTTAAGAGACATCAAATTATCGTCAAAATATATTTAGAAAATTGGATTGTATTTAACTCGAAATAATCATCTTTTTCACTCATTATAACTCACGTTAGCATAAATTCGGGATGGTTTGAGTTAAACGGTTCGTGAATTTCTTCGGACAATGCCATATTGTTAAAAGTTTGCCATGCGTGGCAAACTGGATTTTGATACTGATGTACATCCACGATATGGCCGTCTACGTTCATTAAGGTATTTGATTCAATTGGTGAATGAGCAATCATTTTTATTCCACTTTCATATGAAAGTTTCTGTCGATCCTGTTTAGAAATTTATTTTTTGGATTGCATTTAATATTATTTTTCAAAGTTTAAATATTAAGAGAATAATCTTATAATAAAACGAACCCTTTCCTGTTGCATTTCCTGTTTAATTTGAGTTTTTTTGTCTTTACATCTTTTATTTTGAAACCATACACGGATAACACGCGGTGATAGTCCACTCATTTCGACAATTTGTTCTTTCATCAGTGCATCTGGCCTCGGATTTTGCTTATAGAAGTTTCTGTTTAAAAAATGGAAAATTATAATGATTGCATAAATAAAAACGTTATAAAATTATATTATTGAAAACTAAAGGTCAATATTTTTTCGTCATTTATGTTTATATTTTGTTCCTTTGGAGTAGAATTACATAATTCTTGATTTCGCTTTTTTTTGTTGATATTTAATGTACAATTAGAAGTATTTTTATGTTAATTTATGTTAATAAGTACGTACGCCATCATATTAATATATAATATGTTAGAATTACTCCACCTGTTTCTATACATATTTGGAGTTAAAATCTATATACAGGGTGGTCCATAATTCCATGTCAATATTTTCACAACATTT